CTGGGCAGTTTAAAGCAGGAAGACAGAAACCACCGTGAGAGCCTGGAGCATGAAGGGACCCAGGTGCCCTGGTTGGAGACACAGACTTGACATTATAGACCTGACTTGAAAGTGTAGGAAAGAAGAAAACTTGGTAAGCCACAGCCCTATCATCATTAAAGAAATGCAGTCACTAGTTTTAAAAATATCCACAAATGCCAGGCTCAGATGGGTTTATTGGTAAGCCCTGCAGAGACTCACAGAACAGACTAAAATTACTTTCTGTAAACCACCAAGGAAAGAAGCCAATGTGAAATCATTTTATTTATTATTCCACACACTAAAACTAGACAGGGATTGTACAAGAAGGAATTAGCAAACTGAGTCTAGCAACTGAACTTATGAAGTGGACTTAGCCCAAGAATATGACATGACTTAGTATCAGAAGAATCTATCATATGATTCAGCAGATAAAAGAAGCCGAGTTAATAGGTGCAGAAAAAATACCTGCTAAGTTCAGCTCCTACATGGGTAACTTCTGCCAGCCCGTGTGAGGTGGATGCCCCTCAGGGTCACCCCACCCTTTTGAGAGACAGGTTACTTCCCTGGAAACTTGGTTTGTTCCCCTTCTAGTTTGCCTCCTGCCTGGACTCCTTGACGGCTGCCCCAGGTGTGGCTGGGGCATAGTATACAGCCACATGCACTCGCGGCTCACCTTCTTTCCTCCCCTGCCCCAGCCGTGCCCGTGGGACCTGTTAGCCCCCTCACCCATCCCAGCCCTGAGCACTCAGCTCAGTCTCACCACACTCACCAGGGGTCCTGCTGCCCCTTTATGAGCTCTTGCCCCACATGCACAACCAGAAGTCCTAGAAAATGTCAGGAATTGGCTTCCTGCTCAGCCACCATGCTGAGTGTCTCAGGACACAGCCATACCCTGCTGCTCCCCTCTCTGCAGACCTGCCCAGGGCCTTGCAGTTGCCTCCTCTCCAGCCTCAAGCCCCTCACTTTTCACTCAGAGAGGTCCCCCCACCCAGGGGAAAGGCCACATACCTCCCTTTCTATCTTGTGTTGCCCACAGGGCTCCCTGGGTCTGCTCCTCTGCCAGGATGAGCTGTGTGACGTGGAGAGTCCTGTTTGTCTACTGCTAAAGCCCAAAGCTCCTTAGCTCCTGCCACACTCAGTGTCACTTGCCAGTGATGTCAGGAACTAAAGCCACTACACCCACTCACCTCACCATCAACACTGGGAGAGAGAAGTTCCAGCAATAGGACCACAAGGGAACAATTAACAGGTGAGTCACAAGGTGTGCAGGTTGAGCAGGGCTGTCAGAAGCAGAGTTAACTGCACCTTGTCACATTTTCTGACCCTTGTTATAATTTAAAAGACAATACACAAGTCAGCATGCCGAGGGACCCCATGTCCCTAAAGAACCAATTGTCAGGGAGAAAATCAACGAAACCTGAAGACAAGCCATCTGCTGAGCACAGGATTTGTTTCTCAGCTGCTGTTATTATTGAGCCTGTGGCCGCATCTGGGCTGCCAGGATGAGGCTGGGCAGCAGGAGGAGTGACCGTGGGCTAAGGCCAGGTGGTAGCAGCCTGACCTCATGGCCTGTGGCTCTCTCAGTCACTCTGTTGTGGAAGCCCAGTGCAGGCTGGACGATGTGCCAAGGGCTTGATGCCCCCGGGGCTGATGGGCAGGAGGCTGCACCCAGGTCTCCCAGACCTCACCCCACAGCCCTGTTGGGAGCTGCACCTGGCTGCATCCCCTGCAGTGAAACAGGTCAGAAGTGCCGCACTCTCCAGGGTTCTGTGGGTTGTTCTAACAAACTGATGGATCTGAGGGGATCGTGGAACCCTTGAATTTGTAGCCAGTTGGTCAGAAGAGAGGGTGGCCTGGGACCATGACCTAGCAGCTGGTGTCTGAGGGGACGATGCCCTTACACTGTGGGTCTGCACTGCTGTGTGGAAGGACAGCAGCAGGCTCCCGCTGGGTGGACAGATAGCTCATGCATAATTTAAACCTCACACTGCAGAAAGCCACCTTACCACAGTCCAATCCCAGACATAAATATGCTAAGACTTACATGTAAGAGCAAAGTGCCCAGATCCGGGGACTCTATTGAAGGACATGGTAGGCCACTGTCCCTGGTGATAGAAAATCAGCTAAGAGAACCTGCTGACAGGGCACGGGAATGTGATGGTCTGTGTGCACGGAAGCTACAGTGAGGACCAGGGTCCATCCCACGAGGGAATCAAGGAAATTGTCACCAGGCATATGGACACCACCACATGAGTTAGGGACCTAGGCACAAAAAGCAACACAAGACTCTATTGGATTTTCATCATGGGAGCTTATCAGGGTAGGGAAGAGTTAAAAATGACACAAAAATTATCACAGACAAAAAAGATGCATTTAATGTTAAGTCAGGAATTTCTACTCAAAGAGACAGTGAGCAGCCACAAGTAGAAATGTAAATATGCACAACAAAGAGCAGGTGACGGGCAGGGAGACTGGGAGGCAGCACAGCCCACGCAGAGAGCCCGACAGCTGGGAGCGCCCGCAGGTCACAGCCTCCCTTGTGACCGGGTAAGTGTGTATTGAAACCTCCATAAAATACGATGCACACTCCTGAGATCAACAAAAACTACCAAGCTCAGTACCAAGTGCTGGCGTGGGTGTGGAGCGAAGCACTGTATGGCCCACCAGTGGAAAAGAGCTCATTTATTCCAACAGAACAGCCAAAGTTGAAGCATACTTCTCTGTGGCCCAGCAGTTCCGACTCTGATCGGGGAGACCCTTCCCCACCTGCAGTGAAGCCATGCTACTGCAGGAGCAGAGCACGGGACCAGCGCGTGTCTCATGCTGCGTAAGGCTGCAGCAGCACTGGGCCGCACCCCCTTGCAAGTGCCAGGCCACCTGGCCAGCTACCGTGTCAGAGCAGACGCATGGGGGGCCAGTGACACTACCAGGATTCAGGAGACACGGGTTTCCTGCAGGGGAGGGACAGGATATGGGCTATCCACTGGATCAATCACCTGTGCTGGGCAGTGGGGCACAATGTTTATGTCCTGTATAATCTCTAAATACAGCAGGACCTCCATGGCTGATCCCTCCCTACACTGACCACCTCCTTAAGCTGACCTAATTTTCATAGACAGACACCACTCGTGTGGATCAGTACAGCAGGCCTAGGTCCTTATGTTGGCCACCCCTATGTGCTGGCCAGTCTGTCACAGTCCCGTGGGCAGTCACCTCACTGCAACTTGTCCCTACTCTTTACTTGCAGACTTTCGGTGCGCTGCGCCTGAGCCATGGGCTCCTGCTCCCAGAAGCCTGGCCTGTGCCCACACCTGGCATGACATACAGCAGCAGGAACCAGAAGAGACCTAGGATGCCACTTCGGGGATGTGCTCCTCTCCAGTGTTGTACCCAGGCCCCCCCACGGCACTGCTGGGGTGGCTGGTCCACGGGAGGTTTGGCTCCACCTATAACATCACGGTCTTTATGGGAGAATGTGTTGTGTGGTTCTTACACAACTTTAAAATATCCTTGATCCAACCCCACAGCAGTGCGGCCCAGTGACCCAGGCCCCATACAGCCAAGGACAGGGACAAACGGCCTATAGCCTGGGAAATTGTGCAGAGCAACTATGCTTCAGCATCAGAGGTTAACAGAGAGGAGGCGGCAGCAATGACAGCCATGGCAGCCAAGTGCCCTGGTGGCACTTTCATCACAGGTCAAAGGACCCGTAGGTGAGCCACAGACCAGCACCCTCCCCATACACAGGGAGGCCCTGCCCCCACCAGGGGGGCTGCTTCTCCCTGTCCTCCTGACACTAGGTCCACCTAGAGCCCAGGGGCCAGGCAGGATGCACACCCGTCCCCTCTCCCTGGTTCTCCTGGGATCCTAGACTAGACAGTGCAAAGGCCAGCTGAGGCAGGGAGGGTGGCTGGCTGGAGACTACAGGACCCTTCTCCCCTCCCCTCCCTGCCAGGGGCATGTGGGCATCAGGCCAAATGCAGGGGCCACAAACATAGTCATGTTAGCACCCAGCCAAGGCCACAGCAAGGACACTGCTTGTCACCATGGGCAGAGTCCTGCAATGCTCCACTAGACCTTCTGACAAGACCTGGGTACTAGGACTTCCCCAGGGACTTCCCAGGACAACCAATCAGAATAGCTTTTACAGGGACAGACAGACCATAGGAATGATCACAGAGCTCTAAGAGGCCACAGAGAAGGCTTGGTGCCTGTGGCTCAAGTGGCTAAGGCGCCAGCCACATACACCTAAGGTGGCAGGTTCGAATCCAGCCTAGGCCCGCCAAAACAACAATGATGGCTACAACCAAAAAATAGCTGGGCGTTGTGGTGGGCACCTGTGGTCCCAGCTACTTGGGAGGCTGAGGCAGGAGACTCGCTTGAGCCCAGGAGTTGGAGGTTGCTGTGAGCTGTGATGCCACAGCACTCTACCCAGGGGGACAGCTTGAGGCTGTCTAAAAAAAAAAAAAAAAAGTGGCCACAGGGAAGGCATGATGCGGTCACACGCCAGAGGCTCCTGCCAGGCAGGGGCAGCTTTCTCAGCCTCTGCCCTGCCCTAGGCTGGGAGATCAGGATTGGAGACAGCACCCAGTCGTAGACACACAACCACAGTGGGCAGAGGGCTTAGGATAAGGCCCCCAACCCAGCTTGTACACAGAAATGCCAAGTGCTATCTCCAAACCACTAACTTCTCCAGCCACCCAGGCCAGTGCTAAAGACTGTTTGGCCCATGCTGGAGCCAAGTTAATTTGTTCCATGGCAGCAGGGAAACCAGTTTGTGTTATGCCTCTGGGCTACAGGAAGGCCAGACAAAGGACCCCAGGGCGACAACAGGTATACCCTTCTCCTGCAGTGTCCCAGCCTGATTGTAGCAGCTGGGAAGAGGGAGGTACAGGTAGCTCTTGTCAGGTGTCAGGCAACCCACAGAGACCCCACCAAGGGGCTCAGAGATAATACACAGAGTCTGCATGGGGCAGGTATGGGAATAAATACTTTTAAAATTTCTTCTCTTATAAATATGCATTAGAACATTTGATAACACAAGCAAAGAGCTCTGAAATTAATTTAAAATTAAACCAAGAGTGCATTTCCAGCATGACTAGCAGGAAAATTAATTATCTAAAATATCCTAATCCCCGAATACTTATGAAGGCAAAAGCCACCATGGGCCCCACAGCCACCTCAGTCCTGGGGCACCTTGAACAGGTCCTTCTCCTTGCGGATGGCCCTCATAGTGGTCACAGGGTCCGTCTCACCCGCATGCTGCTGCACTGTCTTCTCCCTGCAGAGGCAAACACCAGGCTGCGGGCCACACGCAGCACACACAGAGCCCACTGCCCCCACCGGGATGGGACATTCTCACACAGGAAGCAGTGACAGCCTTGGCAGCTTGGGGTGTCTCTGCCGTGGGAGACCCAGCTGGCTGAACCAGTGCTTGAAGTAGCCCAGAGGGCAGGCAGATCCCAGCCCCACACTGCCTGGGTAGAACCCAGGGCTCCCCAAGGCAGCAGCTCCACCTCTGCCGGGGTCTGGGCCTCCAGGGTCCCACTGGACCTGCATACTTGCCAACACACTAAGAAAAGTGTCCCCTCTATAAAAGATGGCCCAAGTCCCAGTTACACTTGTTAGAGTTTGTCAGGATCTTGGAGATGGCTCTGCTGTGCACAAAGAAGGGGACTCCAGGGGCCATGTCAGCTCCCACCCTCACCTTACTCTCATGAAGGGGTTGTAGGTGAACTCCTCCTCAAGGGTGGATGGCACCGTGGGCTCTCCACCACCATACTTCTTCTGCAAGAAAGATGTATTGCTTTGATCTGGGAACTTTTCAATACAACATTTCAAAATACCTTCTGATGATCCTCAAAATTAGCACAGAGCAGAAATCAATAGAATAGAAAAGCAGATGGTAGGGAAATTAAGGCAAAAATCCTTTTAAAAGATCAACAAAATTGGTAAGACTAATGAAGCAAAAGAGAATCCAAATTGCCAAGGTCAGAAATTGAAGAGGGAGCATCACTATGGATCCAGCAGACATGGGAGAAGGGGGATATTTATGTGAATTGAAAAGATAAACTATAAAACTTCCAAAGACAACATAGGAGATGATTTGTTGACCTTAGGATAAGCAAAGATTTCTTAGGAGACAAAAACATATGAATCATAGAAGATAGTATTAGACTTCATCAAAATTAAAAATGTGTGTTCCTCAGAAGACATGGTCGAAAAAATAAAAGGCGGGCAGATTGCCTGAGCTCAGGAGTTCGAGACCAGCCTGAGCAAGAGCCAGACTCTGTCTCCAAAAACAGCCGGGTGCTGTGGCAGGCAACTGTAGTCCCAGTTACTTGGGAGGCTGAGGCAAGAAGATCACTTCAGCCCAAGAGTTTGAGTTGCCATGAGCTATAACGCCACAGTACTCAACCTCAGGGTGACTGAGTGAGACTCTGTTTCAAAAAAAAAAAAAAAAAGTCAAGCACAGCTACTATGCAACCTAGCCATTCTACTCTGGGGCATTTACCCAGGAAATTAAAATATATGTCAGCTATATTTCTAAATACTATCAACTAATAAGCACAATAAAATACAAAAACTTGAAGTACTTGAGAATACATTTAACAATATGTGCAAGACCTTTAACAATGAAAATTACAAAACATTGCTGAGAAAACTAATGCCTCAGTAAGTGGAAAGCCATGCCACGTTCACAGGAAGGCCCAATGGTAAGATCTCTGTTCTCTCCAGATCTACTGTTACAGCGTCCTAGTCAGCCAAGCTGGCTTTGTTACAGAAATTAACAAGACAATTCTAAGAATGGAAATGCCAAAGCTAGCTTAGACAAGCCAAAGCAATTTTGAAAAAGAATAAATTTAGAGAATTTATACAAGCTGATTTTGAGACTTAACATGAAGCTACAGTAATCGAGGCAGTGTGCTCTGATGCACGGCTAAGTCACACAGACAGAGGACATGAACGAAGAGTATCTGGCAGTACAGCCATGCATATATGGACCACTTTTTTCCAACAAAAGGTGCCAAGGTAACCCAATGAGGAAAGGACAGTCCTTCCAACAAATAGTGCTGAGCAAGTGAACATCAAAATGCAAATAGGTGTGGCCGGGCATGGTGGCTCATGCCTGTAATCCTAGCACTCTGGGATGTTGGCCGATGGATTCCTGGAGCTCAGCAGTTGGAGACCAGCCTGAGGAAGAATGAGATCCCATCACTACTAATAACAGAAAAATTAGCCAGGCATTGTGGTGGGCGCCTATAGTCCCAGCTACTCAGGAGGCCAAGTTGCTGTGAGCTATGATGACACTATAGCATTGTAGCCTGGGTAACAAAGCAAGACTGTCTAAATGGGCGGGGGGGAAGCAAGGAAGACTCGGGGCCTATGGCTCAGACTGCTAAGGTGCCAGCCACATACACTGGAGCTGGTGGGTTCAAATCCAGCCCGAGCCCGCCAAACAACAATGACGGCTGCAACCAAAAAACAGCCAGGTGCTGTGGCAGCTGCCTGTAGACCCAGCTACTTGGGAGACTGAGGCAGGAGACTCGCTTGAGCTCAGGAGCTGGAGGTTGCTGTGAGCTGTGATGCCACAGCACTCTACCCAGGGTGACAGCTTGAAGCTCTGTCTCAAAAAAAAAGCAAGGAAGTGACCTTCTACCCTTTGAACATGCACTAAGATTAACTTGAAAGGGATGCTATAAATTATATATAAATATAAATTATATATACACATTTATAAAAATATATATAAATATTCATGTTAAGAGGCTTAACATGAAGACTCTTAAAGCTTTAGGCCTCTAAGACAGACACATAGGAGAAAGTCTTTGTTAATTAGGGGAATGCAAAAATTTCTTAGGACGCAAAAAGAATAAGAGAAAAAATCTGTACACTGAACTTCACCCAAAGCATCGACTTACTTTCCAAAAAACACTGAAGAAAATGGAAAGGCAAGTCACGAACTGGGAGGAAATATTTGAGCCCTATATAACAAAGACTTGTTTCCAGGTTACAAGAGGAACTCTTCTCGCTAACAAGCCAAACAACCCAATATTTAAAATGGACAAAAGATTTGAACACAGATTTCACAAGAGGTGGCATACAAAACGCTGCTAAGCACGCGAAAAGATGACCAACCCCATTAGTCATGGGGAGATCCACATTTTAAAAGCACAACGAGATACCAGCACACACCTCTGAGAGTAGCAAAAATTAAAAAGGACCAACAACGCCAAGTGGCAGTAGCGCTCACAGCAGCTGCAACTCGGATGCATTGACAGTGGGAAGGAAATGGTATGGCCACTTTGGAAAGCTGTTTCTTAAACAGACATTTAGCCACATGGTGCAGCTGCTCCACTCCTAGGTTATGTACCCGAAAACGATAAATGTGTTCACAAAAATCCTGAACACAAATGTTCATAGCAACTTTATTCATAATAGCAAAGAACTAGAAACAACCCAATACCTACTGCAGATGGATGTGTCCACACAAGGGGTGCTACCTGAACAAAAGTCATCGGGATGAAGCTTGGAAACATGCTGAGCAAAACAGCCACATACAACAGTTACAGGATTCTGTGTATGTGAAGCTCCGTAAAGAGTCCTTTACGGGAGAGGGCAGTCAGCAGTGGGGTGGGGTGCTGAGCGGGATGTGCTGTGTCTTGGCTGTGGTGAGGCTCATGTGGGGCGCGCTGTCAGAACTCATCCGGCCTCGTACTGGCCACTCACAACAGGAAGGTTTTACTATAAGGAAATTATCCTCAAAGTTCAGCTATTAAAAAGCAGAAAACTGAAAAGGAAGTCACAAAATGGTATGTGCACAACATGAGTTTATATTCTATAAAGTATTAGTATATATTAGTTGGAAAAGATGATTGACAAAAACAGGTGATTTCTTAAAAAACAAAACAAACTTGTATCAGGCAGCATCACTTACTGAACTCAGGAGAAAGGAGCCCACACCTGTGCTGCCCGGGCCAGGGCTTCTGACCTTTGCCGTTTACCATTGGTAGAAAGAAAAGCAGACCTTAGGGCCCAGAGAGCCCCTGCCCCCAAAGTCCCTAGTCCAGCTGCCCTGGGCTATGCCCGGAGGCATGTGTAGGGCTATTGCTGACAATGTCTTTCAGAGAAGGAGACTGATGGGCCACGTCCCACAGGTCTGAGGAACAGGCAGAGGCCTTTTCCCTAAACAGAATACAGCTGGCAGAGCCACATGGCCCACCTGACGCACAGCTGCATGAAACACAGGAAATAAGGTGGAAACTACAGCTTGGGCCTTGCCTGGGCACTTGTTGAAAATGCAAAGTCTGAGGCCTGCCAGGACCCCCGAGGCAAAATGGTCTCAACAAGATGCCCAGGGGATCATCGTGCCAATGAAATTGGCCTAAAGCCCAAACTTGCTCCCATGCTCGAGGCACAAGGCTCCTACCCTCTCTGCAGACAGCACTGTGTGTACCCGTGACCAGGACCCTCTAAGCAGGTCCCACAGGACACTGCATGCCTGGTCTGCCTGCTCACCTTGGCCCAGGCCAACTTCTCCTGAATGGCCATGTTGTTGGGCTCCACGTGGCGTGCGAACTTGAGGTTGTTGATGGTATACTCATGGCCACAGTAGACTTTCTGAGGAAAGAACAACACGTGAGCTCTGGAAGGCTGATCCCTGGCCCCAACAGCTCCTTAGCAAGGGCCCTGGGGACCTCTGGGCTAGGCCATGTACTCATCCCAACCCAGGTGCCTACAGGGCTATGTCCAGCTAGTGGCTACCCGTCGTGAGGCGGAACATGGGGCCCAGCTCTCAGGAGGCACTGCCTACCGTGTCTGGAGGGAGCCGGCCCAAGATCTCAAGCAGAGCTTTGTACATCTCTTCTGCCGTCCCTTCGTAGAACTTCCCACAGCCAGCCACAAACAAGGTGTCCCCTGGAACATGGAATGACAGCCGGGGGGAGGGACCCCAACCTGTAGCTACTCTCCTCTCAGCACATCCAGAAGATGATCTATTGCCCCCATGGCTTCCTCTCAAGTTCCAGTACACAGGGCTGTTCAGACCCCAAACCCAAGTCACCCTGGCGGCTCCCCACTTGCTTTCCCAGTCCATAAACCCAGCTCTCCCAGCAATCCCCACTCACCCCTGCCCTTGTCCCCAGCAACCATCTGTGACCAAGATGTCACAGTTTACACCTCACAGACTCACCACAGAACCCACCCTTGAGCACTCCAGCTCCTTCCCATCTCTGCCCTGGAGGCAGCATCCCCATGCCCTGCCCCGGCTCAGCACGCTGCACACTGTTCTCCCGCTTGATGTTTGTCCCAGGGCTCACTAACCACCACACATGGGTCGACCCAGAGAACAGGGTCTTGTCCCCTGAGTGCACCGAAGCCTATCCCACTTTCCTCCTCCAGGACCCCACAGCCAGGACTGGACCCTCCTCTGTCATGGCCAAGAGGCAGGGGTGTACTGGGCAGGCTTCTTCCCAGAGACACCCAACAGTGTCCCTGATGGCCTGTGAGTAGGCACTGTCACATGCCCTCACACACGTGAGCTCCCCTATTTCAAGCTATGATGGCAAATAGGCCCAGGAGCCCAGGCTCAGAGCCCACACTTGCTACTGCAGCAGGGACCTGCCACTGCTCCAGGCCAGTTTTTTTTTTTGTTTGTTTTGAATACAGAGTCATACTTTGTTGCCCTCAGTAGAGTGCTATGGCACCATAGCTCACAGCAACTTCAAACTCCTGGGCTAAAGCAGTCCACTTGCCTTAGCCTTCCAAGTAGCTGAGACTATAAGGCACCTGCCACAACATCTGGCTTTTTTTTTTTTTAAGAGACTTGCTCTTGTTCAGGCTGGTCTTAAACTCCTCAGCTAAGGCAATCCACCTGCCTTGGCCTCCCAGAATGCTAGGATTACAGGCCTGAACCACAGTGCCCGGCCGTAGCCAGTCTTCTTTTTAAAAGTGTTTTTTAGTAGGGACAGGGTCTTATTCTTGCTCAGGCTGGTCTCAAACTCCTAACCTCAAGCAATCCACCTGCCTCAGGCTCCCAGAGTGCTGGGATTACAGGTGTGAGCCACCAACCCTCATGCTTGGCCATGACCAGTCTTTTTAAATGAACTTCCATTATAGTTACAATATCATGACTATGATTCAAATCTCTGAAAGATTTAGAACTTAAAAATTATATTCGCTAAAAAAGTTATGAGTCGGTGGGGCCTGGCCAGGCAGGGCTCTCGGCCCCTTGTGGTCCCATGTCCACTGTCACCTGAAGACAGTTGTTCCTGCTTGGCATTGATATCCTTTCATTTTCTCTCAAAAGAAGAAAAGCACCTCAGCCTTACCACACAAGCCTACTGAGCTGACCATGCGCTGCTAGACCCTGTACAGCCCAGGGACCAGCACCACCTGGGCTACCAGGACTCACTGGAACCCTCCCACCACTGAGTGTCGTGCAGGGCCACTGGCTGTTTCAGGTCACCATGGAGGCACCCCGACCAGGCACTGGCCTGACTGCTGCCTCTTCCTGAGGATGCCGGGATGAGCCCAAGCAGTGCTCTAGGCCCTAGGGCCACACCCTCTGTCTATGCTGGAAGCCACTGGGGCTGGGCACCTACTCAGGCACTCAGGGAGGCCTGTTGCCCAGGCACCTGATAGTGGTGACTGGGCACAGCAGCCCATCAATGTGCAGGAAAAGGGCCAGCCCAGGCTGTACCCAGGGCTGTGGTCCTCCTCAAGGATTTAGGAAGAAAGAGAAGACAGCAGCCTTTCAGTCCACCAGAAGGAAATGCCCTGCTTCTCTGCGCAGGGGTTTTCAAAGACACCAATGTTTTTGCACAAAACGTCTGGGCCCCCACCCTAACCTGCACACTCACCAGTGAACACAGCAGGGGACTCAGAAACACCAGGCTTGCTCACAAAGTAGCAGATATGTCCTGAAGTGTGGCATGGTGTTGACAAGCACTTGACATTGAGGGACCCCACCTGAAATAAAGCAGGCAGTGGGCATGGGCCCCCGAAGCCCCCTGGGACCACTGATGTCTTTCCAGTGTATCCAGGCTCTGTCAGACCCCATGCCAGGCAGATGCCACTGGAATGTTCTTGAAGGGGGTCAAGAGCCCTCCAACCTCAGGGATCCCTCCAACCTCAGGGATCCCTCCCACCTCTCTGGGCAATGCCTGCCCGAAAAACCAAAGGGGCTTGTTTTATTTTCTCCTTTGGAATTGGGCTGAATCTAAACTCGGTATCTTTTCCTTTTTTTTTTTTTTGAGACAGAGTTTCATTCTGTGCCCAGCCTATAGTGCCACAGCATCATAGCTCACAGCAACCTCAAACTCTTAGGGGACTACAGGAGCCCGCCACAACACCTGGCTAGTTTCTCTATTCCTAGTAGAGATGGGGTCTTGCTCTTGCTCAGGCTGGTCTGAACTCCTGAGCTCAAGTGATACACCTGCCTTGGCCTCCCAGAGTGCAGTGGTTATAAGGCGTGAGCCACCACACCCGGCCTAAACCAGGTATCTTACTAGAAGATGTTTTCCTTCTTGGGTGCTTGGCCTTTTGATTCACTTTCTTTCCTGTCCCCACCTGCTCAATTCTTTTTCTTTTGGTTGCAGTTTTTGGCTGGGACTGGGTTAGAACCTACCACCTCCAGTATATGGGGCCGGCACCCTACTCCTTGAGTCACAGGCGCTGCCCTGCTCAATTCTTTACTTCAAAAATGCTCACACCTACAAAGCTGACAGCATGCAATGAATACTCTTGCAGTCTCTTCCCCCACACAGAGGTCCACTCTTTAAACAAACATCCTGAGAAGTCACCCCAAATACTCCATCTGTGACTCCTAATAAAGGACATCCTCCGTGTGACCTCACATCAGCACATCTAAAAGTTGAAGCCTGATGTAGGAGCATCTCCTACATAGACTAACTCCCCAGCTGACTAACTCAGAGCCCCCCAGCCCTACACCTGGCCCTGGCTCTGCATGTTGATCTTGTCCTCTCTAGGCCCAATGTCCAGGCCGCCCCAGAGCCTTTCTCCTGGCACCCCAGGGTAAGGGAGAGGATAGCAGCAAGCAGTACAAGCTCCCTCCAAACTGTGCTCAAGGTCACACTGGCACGCTCTCCACCGCCCCTCCGCACCTGCAGCGTGGACAGGTGAGTGACTTTGTGGGTTAGGGCCCCGATGCGTTCATCACCCCCGTACACTTTTAGTCCAGGCACCAGCTTGATCAGCTTCTCGTTGCCACCAGCATGGTCCCTGAAAGTCAAACAAGAGACTTGGGGCCACCTGCTGAGATGCCCAGATCAACGATGTTGCCCAGAGGGTTTCTACTTCTGGGAATGCACGTCTGCCCACACAGGGACCTGGCTTTTGTCAGTCTTTTGGCTCTACCGGTAACAATGTTCTCAGACACCAGGTTCCCAAGCAAGGCATCTCTGTGCCCCTTGGAACCACATCACAAATGCCTGGGTGATTCCAAGGCCCATGGTTCCCTAGCTGTGAGGCACAAGGGAACCACCCGGAGAGCTATAAAAAATACCACCCCGACTCCACCCCATCCTGATGCAATTGGCCGGCGGTGGGGTTTTGAAAGTGCCCCAGGTGATCTGATATAAGCCCAGTTTGGGACCCACGCTCTGGCATATCAGCCAGCTGTGAAGTTTGGTAATCAAGAATCACCTGGGAACTCCTAGAACAAAGCCAGCTCCCCTGCAAAGCCTGATACCAGTGCCTCCTCACACAGGCCACCGTCTGGCCTGTGCACTTGAGAAAGGGCTAGAATCTCACCATCTCCAGCTGGGCCAGCCCTGCCTGGTGAGGCTGAGCGTCCCATGCCTACAGACCAGGCTTCATCTCAGGTGTGAGGCCAGGGAGCATCCGCCTCCTGCAGGTCCAGCTTTAGTGCCTGCCTTGTGCCAACTCTACCTATGTGCACCTTAGCAACCACACCCCTGAGGCCTCCAGTGGGCAGCCCGGAACCACCCACTTCAGCACAGCTGGGCCCCAAGATAGGGAGAAACACTGGGCAACAGTGGCGCTGCCTAGGCCCTCCGCCCTTCAGGAGGATGCCACACCAGGCAGAGGCGACCAAAGAAGCAAGGCCTTATGACAAGTGAGCCATCATTCAGTTTCTCCTCAAGCGAGTGGGGTACAAGCCAAATCCTAGAGCACAACCTAGGACTCGGTCTAGGGCTGTACTTCCCGGCACGAACATGAGGTGGTGCCAGCAAAAACCAAAAGCACAAAAATGTCAGAGGCATCCAGGGCAGGGATGACTCCGAGTAGCAGAGTGGCAGAGAAGCAGAATGACAACTGTGACACAGAGATGGATGAGCCCAGCGCACAAGCTCCAAACAGCCACGCAGGCCAAGAGCAAGGGCGCAGGCTCTGTCCCCAACACTCAGGGTCCCCTGCACCCAGGGTACAGCACTGACACCTCTAGTGCCACTCAGTTGGAGCCTGGCTACAGGAGCCGAGGATGCTCCAGGCCCGGGTTATGCTATTTGTTTGCATCAACCAGAATACTTCCACTGAACCACAGCCAGGTCACCTCCTGGTGCCCCAAAGAGAGGCAAGATGGAAGAATGTGTGGGCTGGGGCACAGGGGTGCAGATGCTCACAGGGAAAGGGAAGGGAAGGGTGCTGCCTGCTCTCAAGCACTTACCTGGCAGAGAAAATCAAACCCAAACAGATATTTTTTCTCAGGTTTGAAGAGCCTCAAGATTTCAAAAAGCCAAAGAAGGGCCTTGGGCAGGCAAGCTCTCACCCTAAAGCCCAAACCCATTGCCTTACTAATCCTTTAGCTTTCAAGTACTAAAAAAAAAAAAACCCAATCTCTCCAAATATGGCAACTTGTCTTTTAAAAACTGGAGTATCTAATGGACAATGTCCCAGTGCACAGCCACACGGTGTGCAGGACTCTGGGGAGGCTCCAATGGCCCTGCCTTCACACAGCAGGCCAGACCCACAGGGAAAGGGCTAGAGCCCAGGAAACTTCCTTAGATTTCTAGTGTGGCCTGGTCCCTTAGTGGAGATGCAGCTGTGGGGACAGAAAGGCCTCCATGAGCCCCTCATTGTACAGGAAGGGACAGGCCCCACCCATGGGCACCCTCCAGGACCAGAGGGTGGACAGTGCCCAGCACTTACCAGTGGTGGTGGGTAGTGAGCACTGTGGTCAGCTTCACACCATGCTTCTTCACTGTGTCCACAACCTGCAGCCACAGAGGAGGCAGGACACAGGCAGGTTATATGTCACACTCCCAGGCCTAGTTCACCACCTGCAAGGGGGCTGCCTGCAGGAATCCAGGACTCCTGTCCTCACCCTGGTGGCTCCCCAGTCCCACCCACCACCTCTCCAAACTCCTCCAGCTCTGAGGCCACCACCCCAGGAGCAGCATCAGGGGGCAAAAAGCATAAATAATAAAGCATTTATTTATTATTATTTACTTTTTTTTTCTAGAGGCAAAGTCTCACTTTATCACCGTTGGTAGAGTACTGTGGTGTCACAGCTCTCAGCAACCTCCAACTTGCAATTTGTCTGGGGCCGGGTTTGAACCCACTACCCTTGGTATATGGGGCTGGTGCCCTATCTACTGAGCCACAGGCACTGCCCTATTATTATTGAGATAGGGTCTCACTTTGTCACCCTCAGTAAAGTGCTGTGGTGTCACAGCTTACAGCAAACTCAAACTCTTGGGCTTAAGCAATTCTCTTGCTTCAGTCTCCCAAGTAGGTGGGACTACAGGCACCTGCTACAACGCCCAGTTATTTTTTAGAGACGGGGTCTTGCTCTTGCTCAGGCTGGTCTCAAACTCCTGAGCTCAAGAAATCTGCCTGCCTTGGCATCCCAGAATGCTAGGATTATAGGTGTGAGTATCGTACCAGGTCCCATACCCAGGGATTTTAAAGATGGAACACTTTTCTCTCCCTGTGGTGGCCTTTGGTCTCCACACCTGCAGAGTAGCTGGGTACTAGTTTGTTTTTCAAAAACTATGTGTACTAATTTCCATTTAGCTTGGGCAAAGCTGCAAGGACATTGCAGTTATGAAACCCATGGCAGAGAAGACATGTGCTGGTGACAAGGGCAGGGAGCGGCAGACAGAGCCACCCAAACCTTCTGGGGCTGCACAGGGTCCACGATGGCAGCCTCCTTGGTGTCCTCATCAATGATCAGGTACATGTAGTTGTCTGTCAGGGCAGGCAGCAATTCGATCTTCATGGTGCCCTGGACCACAGTCAAACTCTTCCTGAAATCTGTGTGATGAAGGAAGGTCCCCAGCAGGGCTGGACCTGCAAACACAATGCAGTCTCAGCCCAGGTCCATGCGAAGCCATGCTGGGCCCCCACCTAAACAGGACTGGCAAGCCTCAATGTGGGAGGCTCGCCTGGTGGCTTTCTAAGTTCCTCTGATAGACAATATCCTCATTTAACCACATCCATAAGGAAAATATACAAAATGATTCAATTGTTTCAGATTTACTAGCTTTGTTTTCTTTTTCAAGGATTCTAAAACAAAAGAACTGCCAGCTTATAGCTCTGATGCAAACCACTGTCTGAGGTGACCACTGCTAGTTCTGGCCTATTCACGCCCCTGACTCAGAGTCAGAACATAAAGATGCAGACACAGAGTGACAGAGCCCAAGCCATGCCCTCTCCAACTACCAGAGCCCAAAGTGCATGGAATTACATTTACAGCCCTTCTCAGCCTCTGGCCAGAGAAGAAAACAGTATTTGCCCTTAAATGGCAAGACTAGAGCATGGATAGTACACAAAAATTCTCCAATTCCTGAGAAATGAAGAGTTGGCCCCAACTGTCCCAGATTCACACATAGAGGAGACCGAAGAGTCACCATCTCAGGAAGCCAAAGGACTCCACCAGGGCAAACCAGGAGGAAGCAAGGAGGGACAGACAAGGGACAGAAGCATCCTCCATCCAATAGATAGATGCAAAAATATTTTCAGCAACAAAACTTTTATTAAATATAAAAATAAACAGGGGCCCCATATGACTTTAATAAGTCTTAGCTTTAAATGGAGAAAAAACCCCACAAAAGGCAGCAGAAATTGGAGCCCCTCCCAAAGGGATCCAGAAATCAGGCAGCACCAACCAACAGACAGACTGTCCCCCCAGAGGCTAAATGTGGAATCCAACCTTACATGCCACAAGCAGACAAAGTACCCAAATTATAGTTTTAACAATTATGCAAAGATATAACCATTTCCTTTTTTGACAACCAGCTGTGCATTTTCCAGATCTTTCTCCTCAGGCACGGCAAAATAAACAGTTTTGTCTGATCAAGTTTCTGAGATAGTCTACCTGCCCTAAGTCCCAGAATTAGCCAAGCCCCAAGGAGCGCTGTAGAGCAGTGGACAGGGTGCAGAAAGGTAGGAGGAGGTTAAAACAGGGCTGCCTGCAGGCAGGAGCATCCTCCTTAAGAAAGAGCCCCATTGATAACATCTGATGGAAGGTTACACACAAAAGCACTGCCAGAGTGGTTTATAACTGGTGCTCAACCTGCTCTAGGCACCGTGAGAGCCTTGTGAAGAAGTTGGCAACCTGGGGCGGTGCCTGTGGCTCAAAGGAGTAAGGCACCGGCCCCATAT